CTAGCTAAGCTCCTCAATGAGCTACCCAGAGCGACACGGTGCCTAGCAACCAGCTACGTACAGGTCACTTCCCTACGACTAAGTCATACCGATACCGATTCAAACTAATCGACTCACCTAAATGCAGGACGTGCGGCGTAGATGATAGCATCTCGCACAGAGTATTTATATGTAGAAGACACATAATGGCAAGAATTACCTTGCGAAAAAAGATAACCAAGATCAACATTCGGTTCGAATTAGGTCCAATGCTCAGGAACGCACAAGCTCTTCAAGCCCTTTACGAGTTTTTCAAACCACAATTGACTACGTACCCAAGATACTCCGGTGGTTCGGCTTAACCGAGAAAATTCCCGGACACGCAAATCATCAAGACATTTTACGACACTAGTCAAGAAACGCTTCCTACCAATTCAACATGCCATTCAAATCCTCATGCTTTAAGAAGTATTGATGGACGCAGTTTAACTTTGTATCGTCTTAACAATATATTTATATTTCATCATCATCATCAGCCGAAATATAGTCCTACTGACAAGTGAATAACATCAACTCATCATAGTGCACTCAGTTTGCACTTACTCCATGAAACGATACTTAACTCCACACGCATCCAATTCGGTTTCTACTATTCGCATGAATTCATGAAGTGAGGTTACAAAAAGATGGTAAATTAATATTAAAAAAATAGAAGTATTACAACAACGAGCATTTTTGCAATTTGCGGTACTTACTAATGTGCTAAATAGAACCATTAATATTTAAGATATTTTTTCGTGTATGTTTCAGACCCTAAGTCTCCCCAAAAGAACAGTTTAAGAGAACACTGCAGCGTATGCGAAACATTGACCCTCTCTATCGAGCATAGGTGTGAGGTGAAGCACACCATGTCGGACATCAGTAGCTGATGTACGCTGGAAGAGTCCAGCTTTGCCAAGATAACGAATACCAGCTCTAGTAGAAAGTGGTTCACCACGCTTGAAAGCATCTTTTACCAGCTCCTTCAGGGCCTTCGTTTCTGCATTGCGCTTTGGTCCACATGAGAGTACACTCGTAAGCGAAGCGTGGTGTAGTGTCGAGTAGTTCCTGTCGAACGATGTTTTAGTTGGAAGTCCCAAAAATTGGAGTAAGTCAGGTGTCAAGAAGACAATCTCTCTCTTGTTGCGTTTTATAACCATGAGCTGAAGATATGATTAACAATCATTTTCACATATATCAACATTCACCTTCGTGTATGTGTGCTCAAAGAAAGCTAATTGTGACTCCAGCGGTTTTGGCTCGCTTCCAGCAAGGTTTTCGGCACCATATAACCTCTGGCCAGTCTTGTTGTTAGTGAGAAGCTGATCAGTCGGTCTGTTCTTTGAGAAGAACTTCTTCATTCTGCTTCCCATGGTCATACCCCCACTAACACCCTGGCTAGATCTCGAGTTAGTTAGCATATCGCCTTCATGTTCTACTTCCAGGGATTGGCCCGCTGCCAGTTTCATTGAAGAAGTCTTAGTATTCAAAGACTGATACTCATTGTCTTCATCTTCATCCTCACCCTCTGGTCTACCGAAACGGCTCATTGTTGGAGAAAATGTGAGTCCCTTGTCCTCTATCAGCCCGATACTTTGAGGGTCATTGTTGGTTGATCCAAGCAAGAATGAGAGATTCTTAGAAGACGAGAGTATACCAGTGACATTTACTTGACCACCTATGAAGTAAGCTATCTTGCCTTGCGAATCATGCAAAGGAATCATGTTCAAAAGGCAGAAGAAAGGTGTTCCATCTGCGCGATAGTTGAGGAGCAACTCGGTGATCGATACGCCATTATTGAGTGCATCTCTGATACGTTGGACCGACTGTGGAGCAGTACCTGGTCCTTGCAAGAAACGACAATTGCGTCCAATGATTGTTGAGTGGTGGTATCCAGTGACCTAAATATATGTGTTAAAGGGCTCATTAAACAATTGTCTTACCTTCGAGAAACCATCACTAGCCATGACAATGGGATGGTCGCGGAGCCTTGGGTTTGTTATGACAAAGGCATCACTCAAACCATCCTTTTCACGGTCAGAAAGTATGGCCTTACCGAGCCTAACTTTAGCTCTCTCTACTAGCTTAAAACGAACGAATTGCTGAAATTCGTTCTCATAAAGCGAGGTTAGGAGGTGTTGTTGCATTGGTTCCAAACCGGAGTCTGTTTGTGAAAGTTTTTGTAGGCTGATGAATGTATTCTCAGTGTGTACTGGTGGGATGGTTACCTTGTTCGGTGAAGAAGACGACAGGTAAAGCTGATAAAGTACTTCAGAACCAGCCTCAAATGTGTTAGCTAAGTAAAACGATCAAAACTGTTTTCCACTCACTCTAATTTGGTTGACAAGCTTATCATAAACTGTTGTATCTGTCCAACAGTCAAGTTTGCTAACTGAATCTGGGGAAAGCGTCTCAAGGAATTGTCTAAAGCGATATCTACCAAGTGAATCAGTTAGGAGTTGCTCGAAAACTTGCTCAGACATGAGGTGTCTCAATGACCACTCTAAGTCAGCTTGAATGAGGGAAATTGGGTGGGCTGTGAGGTGGTTCTAGTGTGTATTAGTCTATTTACCTTCGACGGTATAAGCTACCCACTTCAGACTTGTTGAGTAAATTCCAATCAGGAAGGTTGTGAAGCCTGCGTTGGGTCGGCGGAGGCTTAGCCATTTCAGCTGGCGCCCATTCAGTGAGGTTAGACTTGTTATTGATGTGATGTATGTCGTGATGAAAATCTGCATGCGACTGCTGACGCGATGGTGGCAACTTATTGGACGAGTTTGGAGGTGATTCAGGTGGTGTTATATGTTGCGAATAATTGTTACTGGTAAATAGCGCATTGCTGAGTTGTGGTGAAGTTAACTTGTCGTCTGAAGCTGACAGCGGCGGTGTACCATTTCCTTTCCTATTCAGGACCATTGTAGCGTCGGTTCGTGAAATGTTTATGTTCTCATCTGAAGCGATAAAAATGGGCACGTCAGCGTACCAAAATCGCGATGCAGGCAAACGGACGGTACCTTCTTCTTCAGAGCTGATGTAGTCGTCCTGTCTGTTGGAAATCAGCGAATGAAACACAGAAGAGAAGACATACTCATTCAAAGTATAGCCACGCGATGCGTTCGAATAACCTCTCCTCAAGTCTAAAGAACCGCGTGGTCGGGAAGTTGATCTGTGACAAATAAGTCAGATAACGGAGAAATCATCCACGCACTTGGTTTGCTGTATTTTTCCTAAATTACCGCCGATAAAATTTAAGTCCATCGTCGTCAAAGTTGAGGATCTTTGAAGATGCCAAAGCTGTCAAAGTCGTGGTGTCTCTACGGCCAAGTCGCTGAGGTCATAAGAGGATACTGCAGCGTATGAAGTACAAACTATAGAGAGTTATACAGCTCATTTCTGTATACTAGCTATATCTCGTCTTCTCTTCGTACGACGACCATGAGTAATATCCCACTCGATGAGATTATTAGCAACATAGTACAGCCAAAGTCGAACGACGTTATTAGGTACTATCAAAATGAGCTTCTCAATATACAGAAGTCAGCTGCTGGCTGGCAACTCATGGAAGAACTCCTCGAGCTAGATGATACGATCTACAAGTTTTACGGAGCCTTAACAGCCCAAATAAAAGCATCAAATGACTTCATACATCTTAATGAGGACGATAAACTCAGTTTCCAGCAAAAAATATTACATTACACTAATCAAAACAACCAAAACAAGTTGCTATCTAATAAGTTGCTATCTACTCTAATAGTGACACTCGTGAAATCATCGTTAAATGACCTATTCAGTATCCTCAGCCAGGTGCACTTACCAGACTCATTCAAGTTGGCCGTCGTCTTGGAGGATCTCGTAAGGTTGGAATTCAGCAAAGAGCAAACACAACAGTTACGCCAGCAGTTGCTTTCCAACAAAGACTATATAGAAACCACAATACTGAGCAATTTGGAGGATCTGGACGCGACAACGACTTCAATTGAGAATTATCTGAAGTTCAACAGTTCTCATGATTTCCTGGATAGACTGTTAAATGTGCTTTTATCCACGATAAACACTGAAAACTACAGTAAAGTTGCTGCAATCGTCGAAATACTTATCACTTTCAAGGATTATTCAGTACCAGTCTCTCAACTATTGACGTCACCTTTGACTTCTCAAGTATGGCAGGAATGCGTAGAAAATGAATCGTCCGATGAAAATAGTCAAGCTATTGTCAACTTGTTGATGTCATTTGTCGATAGCTATACGGATTTCATCATCAACCAGCCAACCTCTCAAACTACCCATGGTCTTCTTCAACTAGCATTGTCAGCAACTTCATTCCCAGGTGTGGCGGGAAGTGATGAAACTATATCCGAAAGTTCGCTCGACATCTGGTTCCAACTTCAGGATACCCTCTCAGATGACCCTACAAATATCGAGCATTTCAAGGACTACTTTACCCAACTCTCTTATATTCTTCTTACAAAGAGCGTATTTCCAAGTTCAATTGCTCAGAACCAACTCGCGAGAGATCAATTCTTAAGTTATAGGCAGGTAGTTGGTGATACCTTCATTTATTCATACTACGTACTGAGGAACGGCTTGATTGAAATACTTTATAATACTTTGAATAATGTCTTACAATCATCTGAACAAGTAGAGTCAACATTATTTGCATTCAAGTCGATACAAGAGGCTCTACCGGAGGATGATAGTGCAGTTAATAGGCTTTTCAATCCACAATTTATTGATATTGTCTCTTCTCACAGCCAGCGTACCCAAAGAACACTCTTGATTGTTATAGACGAGTACTCGCCTCAAATAAGCAACCATCCGTCAGTCTTACCACCCCTGTTGAACTTTGTTGTGTCGAAGCTATCCGACATAGAGCTAGCTACTCCTGCAGCAAATGCCCTGAGGAGTCTATGTGGTGATTGTAAACAGCATCTCATACAAGAAATTGGTGCATTTGGAGAATTACACACTAATTTATCGACAACTGTACCCGTCATGGAAAGATCCAAAGTAATACAAGCGATCGTCTCTATCGTCAATGCGTTACCACCTTTCCAAGCTAAAGACCCGCTGATTTCCATGGTCAGGCCACTGATAGATATAATTTTCGCCAATATAGACATAGCTATTAAAGCAAAAGAGAGCTCACAACGCGATGATGTTTTGATAGCGCTAGACAACCTCCTGGCTGTTTCCAAAGGATTGGTAAACTACGACGAGGATGTCAACCAAAATGCTATTGATGTTGTTGGAAATGATGAAGCAGTTACACAACTGAGAAAACAATTAATTGAAATAGGTGCAAAGATTGCTATGGAAGGCACCTCCGATTCCGATCTTTCTACTGTAAGTGATAACAAATAAAGCTTTTTTGTTAACCTCTTCAGCAGATTTATGGAGATATAGTGAAAAGTCTAACGATATCACCTACGCAACCGACACTTCTCACACCAAGTATAGATGATCTCTTAAATGTCGCAGGAATGGCCCTATCGACACTCATACCGTCATCAATCTGGTTGAGTTTGTCTACGTCGTTGATAAACAGATCTAAACTGATTATCGATGAAAAACCACATACGAGAGATGCTCTCGTATCAATAATATTGCAACTTGTTACTATAGCTTGGAGTGGTATATCGAAAACACTAACCGATGAATTGAAAATGCAAGATCACCCAGATCTCACGTCAACCTTCTTCGGTTTGTTGACAATGTTGACGAAAACACTTCCAATTGCATTCCTTCAATTAAATGGAACTGTTCTGGAAGGTTTGCTGACATTCTCCACCGTTGCTCTCAAAATACCTGAGAGACATTCTTTGAGATCAGCAGCTGACTTTGTTGCTAGTGTTATCTTCCAGACACGGAATCTACCACCGATGGAGCAAGGTATTGTTGATAATCTTCTAAAGCAATATGGTGCACCTATGGTTAGAATTAGTTTAATTGGTGCTGCACACAATGCTCCTCGCTCACAAGTACCTATACTAGGCGAGATTGTTTTCCTTTTCGTCGTCAAACTCTCCAGCCAATCTGAAAGATGGGTCGAGGCGGCAGTGCTCGAACCATTAGACGTCTACTCAAGAGCTTCTCTTCAGGATAAAGAAAAGTTAGCCAAGACTATAAATGCGTAGGTCTATTGCTAAGCATGGTATTTTTTTGTTAACAGGAATCTAAGCGCACGTACGGCAAGACGTGTAAAAGAGGCTTGCAGTGAATTCGCGGGTATCTGCAGAGGTACACAAGGTTCAGCATTCGGAATGGCCGTATCAGCAATTTAAAAAGTATCCATCTATGTAATAATTTATTAATATTGTAATAACGCCTTAGAAGACATTGAATTGTTTGGTCATTGGAAGAACATCAGAAGGTGGTACTGTACAGAGCACACCATCTGCTTTTACTTCGTAGGATTCAGGATCTACTTCCATTTTTGGTGTCGTGCTATTGTGCTTCATGTCTTGTTTGCTAACATCTCGACATTTCTTCACTGCCAATGCTCGTTTATCTAGTTTGTAGCTATCATATTTACCATTCTTCAGGGAGATTTCACTAACGAAATTGAAAGAGTTCTTTGACGCTGCTTTATGTAAGGCACCGAACATTTCGTAACTTATTATAGGCTCGACCGTTGGTATTGAGGCGTTTGCTTCTCCGACGGCGGCCCAAGCTATGTAACCTCCTTTTATGACTATCTCAGGTTTAACACCGAAGTTTTGTGGTTGGTACATAACCAAATCTGCTAATTTACCAGGTTGGATATCACCCACAACATGTGAGATACCATGTGTGATTGCAGGATTGATGTTGAGTTTGGATACGTATCTCTTTACTCTCTCATTGTCATTCTTATTCTCCGCGTCGGCGCCTTCTAAATGACCCGTTAGGGATTTCATCTTGTGAGCTGTGCGCCATGTGCGGGAGACTACTTCTCCTATACGACCCTGCTGGCGTCAATGATGAGTTTTCACAGCACATAATTACTCACCATCGCCTGACTGTCAGATGATATCATTGATATTGCACCCGTATCTATGATGTGTTAGATAACAAATGTAGCTTCAATCCTTACGCACCATGTAAAACGTCTTCAGCTGCTACCGTTTCTCCTCGAATACGAGAGTCCGCAAAAGCGACATCTAAACAGTGTTAAGAATTTTTACGTCCGTAATTGACACCTACCCTCTGGTACATTCTTGTCAAGGTGGTGACAAACCATGACCATCTAAATTAGATCAGTTCGGATGTTCCCATGGAACCAAAACACTTACATCCAAATGTTCATCAAGAGTGTTCTTACAGAATGGTCTTGTAGGGTTAGTCGAACTAGGAAGGACATTGTTTTGTTCACAGACGACCTTTAAGACGATATAAGCGGCACATCGAAACAAAATGAGACCTACGATAATATCTGGTGCGTGACCACCACCAGCACCTTCTGTGTGGTATGTATGTATAGTACGACCCTTGAATGCCTCAATCGTACCTTCACGGGGTGTTAGATAGACACAATTATCAAGAAATTAACGCACTTTCGACGAAACCACTCTCATTTAGTGTATCAGTGTGGATGTTGACCTGTATATCATACTTATCGGCAATAGATAAGCAGTTGTCGATAGCAGCAGGTGTAGCTCCCCAATCCTTCGCGAGTTAGTCTCTATATAAAACATAACATATAACTTACCTCGTGGAGTTTGAGACCTGCGGCACCAGCTTCAATCACGTCTATGAGACCTTGCGTTCCGGAGCTGTTTCGTAAAGTCAATAAAATCGTTAGGGAAGCTCTTCACCTACTCATTTCCCTTTCCGGTAAATGCAACGTTGAGGGCTATTCCATCGGTAGCACTGAAGATGTTCTCTATGTGGTTTGCACCTGGCGTACACGTCGTTGCTGTTGTGCCCGCGGCAGGACCTCCAGTCCCACCACCAATGAGAGTTGTAATACCAGTACCGAGGGCTTGTTTACAGAGATCTGGGGATATAAAGTGGACATGCACATCCTGGGCACCAGCGACGACTATATTACCCTCACCGGCAATAACTTCAGTGTTTACACCCACTATCATATCGTCTGTGACCCCATTCATGACATCTGGATTGCCTGCCTTTCCAATTGCTTTGATGAATCCAGCCTTGATACCGATGTCCGCCTGTATGGAGCGCTTTAGTGAGAGCATAGAAAGTGATTAACATACCTTATATATACCAGTCCAGTCAACGATTAGGGCATTGGTAATTACGGTATCGAGAGTTTCGCTGTCGCCTCTTCCTGTTGCTTGACCCATACCCTCTCGGAGTACCTTGCCGCCACCAAATTTACATTCATCACCATAGTGAGTCATGTCATGCTCGACTTCAATCCACAAATCTGTATCAGCTAGTCTAACTTTGTCACCTGTAGTTGGACCGAAGATTGAAACATAGATTTCTCTCGAAAATGGTGTGCCACTGCTGAAAGTTTCCCTTGCGTTAATATCTTCCTTATGTGCAAAGCCAGCAGCTTTGACATTTTGATAGATCCTGTGCGTTTCAGCTTTATCGTAGACACCAGTTGCGAGATTGCTTCCACCGGATATGTATTTATGGCCACCGATCTCGACAAGCGCAACAGTGATACTAGCACCAGGCTCGAATCTGATAGCAGTACCTGCTAATAAATCAAGTCGCTTTCCATATGCTTTTATTCTGTCAAACTCCAATTCTTTGTTAACTTCTACGAAATGATAATGTGATCCGACCTGGACAGGTCTATCTCCGAGATTCGTTACTTTCAATTCGATCTTCTTCCTATTTTTGTTGATCATAACATCTGGTGTACCGAGTTTGGTAACGATCGCACCCGGTTGCTTATCAGGTGCATATAGCTCAGCAGGGTGAGGTGGGAATAAATCATTAGAAGGAACAGGGAAGAATGACGCGTAAAGTGCCAACTCTAAGTTGCCATCCTGTGTAGAAATTGGTTGATGTATTGTTACTAAGAAAGTGCCATCCGGAAAAGTACCTTCGACCTGTAATTCCTTGATTCTGAAAGGAACGTCTGGTGTAACGTGTCGTCTGCCCAGCATGTTCTTCCCCAAGGTCATCAATTTCGCAACGCTGGACTCGCCGTCTCTAATTAATTCGTGTATGACCGTGCTTATCAGTGCGATCGCTTCCGTTTCATTGAGGCATTGACCTCTGGCTAGCCTACGCTGTGCTAAGACTCCCAAAGCGTTCATTTGCACTTTGTGGTGCTCATGGGGAAACAGTCTCATTTTCGCTCTATTTGATGGTTGGTAGAGAAAGATAAGAAAAGCAACAAGAATAAATAAGGTTGAAATTAAAAAAAGTTCGAGTAAAAAGCTATGAATGCGTGTCTTGACAACTTGGCTGTCATTGAACAACCACCTCGGCAACCGGAAAGTTGATATTCGGAGATTTCTAGACTGGCCAAAATGGCTGCTTTTACTTTCGATTTGATCTTATCCGCTATAAATTTTAAATTATACTGGTGTATCGTTTTTTCGGACGTTTATTCTCTACTTCGGACGATCATCTTATCAATCGGAGACATTGTGAGTTCTACATTCCACCCTATCGATCATGACCCAGCTGATAGGAAACGACTACAGAACGCTTGCTGGTACATTTATGCAGGCATTGAAGACACTATCAGGCTACACGATGCACGATATCCCAAAGACAACCTTAGATACGATAGCTAGACCAGCTCTAGCAAAACCTACAGCCTCATTTTATAAGAGACCTTTGCCACCCAAATGCACTTCCTTCACTTCATCGAGGGGTAAGGAAATGTTCGCGAATGCTCTATTAGAGGGAAATATGGAAGCCTATTTCCCCCTAGCGAGTCAGTTCATCACACAAAACGAACCAGCATATTGTGGATTAGGCAGCCTCGTTATGATCCTGAATGCACTTGGCCAGGATCCAGGAAGGCGCTGGAAAGGTCCCTGGAGGTGGTATGAGCAGGAGGTGAGTGTGATTTATTATGTATCGCTCCTCTAACAATCATACAGATGCTCGATTGCTGTAGATCCCTGCAGAGCGTCGCAGAAACGGGTATTTCGCTCACAGAATTTACCTGTCTTGCACGCTGCAATGGATTGAAAGCAGACGTACAACCTGCTCCAATGGGTATCGATAAATTCAGAGAGGATGTCAAGCTCGCCTCTAGGAGTAGTGGTACTTTCATGGTTTTGTCTTACTCACGTAAAAGTCTCGGACAAACGGGTGACGGTCACTTTAGCCCCGTTGGCGGATACTCTGAAGCACATGACTCACTTTTACTTCTAGATGTCGCAAGATTCAAATATCCGAGCTATTGGACTTCAATTGAGGATGCATATGAGGCGACGCTTCCATTGGACAAAGTAACAGGTCAACCGCGAGGATATACACTCCTCTCCCCCGTGGAACCAAATGAGTATAGTAGCACTTCACCTTCAGTTACAACAATCAGTTTGAATAAGAGTACCTGGAAGTTGTTCCAAATCAAGATGAACAATGCGTTGAGGTCGCTATCAAGCATTACGTTGGAGAGTTTCCTGCAAGTTATTAGTGACGTTGTCGAGGATAAAGAGCTCACCGTTGTTGGCAAGCGCAGTAACGCCTCGGAAGACAGTTTGGCTGTCTTACTTGACGAGTTCCAGCAAACAAAGTTCGGAAAAGCTGTCAAAACTGAAGAAGCTATCAATGGTCTATTCGCAATGTCGCTATTTGCGCCAGATGGTCCATTCAACTTGAGTATCCCGAAATCGATCAAACCTGATTTCATAGATTATGTCGCATCAACGCTCTCGAAGAGTAGCTCATTAAATACGGAAATGGCTATACTACAACAGCAACTAAATGCTTTGGGCGATTGCTGCAAACTTGAATCTGAACTCAGCTGCGGCTGTGGGAATAAAAGTAGTTGCTCAACATAATATAGAGTCCAACTTATTTATTAGAGACAATTCGACATACCCTCAAAACTGTACTACAAACAATATTAATCAATCTATGCATTCTCATTCTATTTTGAATCAAATAACTACAATCCAATCGTCAGCAATGTCTGCTTCTTCTTTTGTTGTTTCTTGTTATTACTCTTATTCTCTTGGGTACTTGAAGGTGTGCTGCTCGACGATTGAGCCTGACCTTCGACGACTCTTTGCTGGTGCGGCTTGAATAGTTTCCTACGTTCAGCATTAGCTTTCATGACTGCATCTGAGGAAGGTAAAGCAGGGAAGTTGGCTGCACTCGACGCCGCTTGTCGACTAGCTGAAGCTGCACCTCCACTACTCCAACCTGTTGACGTGCGCGGCTGGGAGCTCCCCAAGCCGGGGAAATGGGAACTCGAAGTCGCACTTCCTGGAGGTACCTTCTGCGGCCGTTTGCTTGCACTCGCATCTCTCTCCCAAAGGGGAAGTGGTCGACTACTAGCTTTGGCAGCAGCTGATGAACCCAAAGTTGGGAAGTTGTCCGCACGTTGTGGTTGACTGCTACTTTGGGCAATCCTGTGATGTCCTTTATATTCTTTCCAGGCTATATCTAATTCTCGGCTCTTCTCTTCGTTGCCTAACAAAATGCTAACTTGGCTCACAATTGATGCTATGAGGTCAATGTTGTTCTTAAGAATAGATACCAAAGATTGTACCAAATCCTTTGCGGTTGATTCATTATTTTTATATGCTCTGATGCTGAATTTGAAAGCCTGCACTGAATTACTTGACTTGGTGAAGTTCATTACTTTGTCTATAACCATCGCATGCTGAGCAGCAATAGCTGGATCTACAGGTGCTGCATCATGAGCTGGTGTCGCAGGCGCTGAGGAAGCAGTAGACGATTGCCCTGATTGCGTTGGTTGGTTGGTAAGACGTCCACCAAAGGCAGCTCTTCTTCCACTACCAGTCGCTGATCTTGTTTGTTGTGGTTGGGCAGAATCGACTGGTTGTGACCAGTTTACTTCGAGCCGACTAACATCCCTCCTTTCCTTGTTGGTGAGATGGGCACCATGCTCTTCCACTTGATGGCCGCGCAAATCGATTTCGCTTCCAAAAACGACGAACTTTTTCTCAATACATCCTGGATGTGGACATGGATGGTGGTCCGAAATGAAATGTTTTTCGAGAGCAGGATAGTCTTTAAAGCTGGTAGGTGTTAGATGAAGGTTAGAGAGAAGTTGAGCACGTACTAAAGCATCCGGATACCAGCTTGCTTGCACAAGAAGCACTCCTCGTGGTGCTCACGCATATGTTTAAAGAGTTCATCTTCACTGTAAACTATTAACTGTTAGATAATACCACCTTTTTATATAATTTTGCGTACAGTGGTCTAAACAGAAATCGCATCCGGGGTGTGAATCTATAGCTGGCTGCACTTTTCTAGCCTTAGCGGAGTATGAAGGAAGTGGTGGAAGATGTCTAAGAAGTGAAGTATGGGAGAAGAACTTGTGTTCATGTGTAAACACTTTCTTGTGTCGAATACACAAATCGCTATATACACTGGTGAGAAATATTGCATAGCTTCACAGATTACCCACCAGAGAGTGCCTTTGTGAATATTTTTCGCATGTCCACGTAAATCCTGCCAACCAGCCGCAACATAATCACATTTGCTGCAATTGAATCTTAACATAGTAAGTAAAGTGCTTAGCATTGACTTGCTTTCACATCGTATGTTAAGTTTGGAATCATGTGGCCAACTTTGAATACCTTTATAATCATCATAAGCCATCGTAGCACTTTTAACAAATAGCACTTCTTCTTGTTCTTTCTATTGGGCGTTAAAACTGACCAGATTGAATGACGTTATGTGCTTACTTTACAGAACGTGCATTCGCGATTTTTGAAAAGTGCACGCATTCTGAGTGTACAGGTGTGACAAGTGCGATGTGAGCAAGGACCTAGTGCCCAGATCGACACGGTTTCTGCACAGATGAAGCAAATAGCTTGGTCTGTCTCTAAGGAAGGAACTTCGGCAGGTTTCACCAACCCAGGTGGTGGCATGGGCAAAGATACAGATTGGCCTTTACTGGAGTCTAGCGGTGGTGTAACCCCTTCACTGTCTGACGCTGTGGCTGGCGTCGTTGATGTCGTTGATATTGTGCCAGATGGATTGGATCCGGTTAAATTACCATTGAAGTTCCTGCGACCACCTCTTGGTCTAGGTTGCATCTTCGGATTGCTCATATTATGGCAATGTTGATGGAAGTTGGGAGTAAAGACGTAAACGGACTCAATTCGAGAGATGCAGAGCTGTGCTTCAAAGTAGAGTATAGAGAGATGCTACTCTGATGTGCAACACAATAGATCTCCGTCCAGCTCGACTTTCAGCAGAAACAGGGATTTCTTCAAAAGCTGTAGAGCGGGGCTGCAGCGTCGTAAATGCAGGTATAAATTGTGTATAAAATGTTATGGACAAATTAAATTCTTTAAATTTACAATTTTTATTTACTTTTAACTTGTTTTTCAAATTTGTTGTGAAGGCCGTTGAGAGCGACTTAAAATTCCTTCTTGACATTCAACTTTTGTGAGTAAAAGGGCAGCAAAAGTAGCGAAACTAAACAATTTTAGTGTTAGAATATGGCAGACTTACAACTCAACGAAGGCCTTATCGAGTCAAACTACGACGAAGTCGTCGACTCTTTCGACAACATGGACCTCAAGCCTGAACTTTTGAGAGGTATCTACGCTTACGGGTGAGTTTATATCGACTATACGCTGTATTTTACTCACACTGCACTCAGTTTCGAACGTCCTTCCGCTATCCAACAGCGTGCTATCATGCCAGTCGTAAAGCAGAACGATGTTATCGCCCAAGCTCAATCTGGTACCGGTAAGACCGCTACCTTCACCGTCTCTATCTTGCAAAGAATCGACACTTCAATCAAGGGTACACAAGCACTCATCGTCGCACCAACCCGTGAACTTGCTCAACAAATCCACAAGGTTGTCGTTGCTTTGGGTGACTACATGGGTGTCTCCTGTCACGCTTGTGTCGGTGGTACCAACGTTCGTGAAGACATGGCTAAGCTCCAAGACGGTGTCCACGTCGTCGTCGGTACCCCAGGTCGTGTTTACGATATGTTGAACAGAGGTGTTCTCAGCACCAACCACATGAAACTCTTCTGTCTTGACGAAGCTGATGAAATGTTGTCACGTGGTTTCAAGGAACAAATCTACGAAGTTTTCCAACTTCTCCCAGGTGAAACTCAAGTCGCACTCTTCTCAGCTACTATGCCAGCTGATGTTTTGGACGTCTCCAAGAAGTTCATGCGTGACCCAATTAGAATTCTCGTTAAGCGTGATGAATTGACCTTGGAAGGTATCAAGCAATTCTACATCAACGTCGACAAGGATGAGTGGAAGTTAGACACTTTAGCTGACTTGTACGAGACTGTCACCATCACCCAAGCTGTCATCTTCTGTAACTCACGTCGTCGTGTCGATTGGTTGACTGAGCAATTGTCCGCTAGAGACTTTACTGTCTCTGCTATGCACGGTGATATGGACCAAAACCAACGTGAAACTATCATGAAGGAATTCAGATCAGGTTCTTCAAGAGTTTTGATCACCACCGATTTGTTAGCTAGAGGTATTGACGTTCAACAAGTTTCACTTGTCATTAACTACGATTTACCTGCTTCACGTGAAAACTACATTCACAGAATCGGTAGAGGTGGTAGATTCGGTAGAAAGGGTGTTGCCATCAACTTTGTCACAGAAGATGATGTCAAGATGTTACGTGAAATTGAGCAATTCTACTCAACTCAAATTGATGAAATGCCATTGAACGTTGCTGACCTCATTTAAAATTGATTACAGTGTATTAGGTTAATATTTGGTTATTATGGTATTGAGTTTTTCTTACTAGATGCTCGATAATTGTAAATTTCTGCATTTCTTTTATTTTCTTAAAAAATATTGTGTTTGTGATATGTGAAAATTTTGATTGTTTATCTTATAAATGTAGCTTTTATAAAAGTCTATATTATCCTAAAACTACAATAATAAATATTCAATTTTCATAATTGATGGTGTTTTCGTCTAATCATCAGTAGTTGTTTATCCGAGATGCATCATGCTACTCTTTTATTTCTGTACACTCACTTTGAAAGTAAATGAGCAGATCAGTAACACGTAAAAGTGGCTGCGGACGATCACATGGGGTTAGCTGTGAGGAATTCACCGTCGTCATGCAGTCAGTACCATTTACTCGTGTGCTACAAGCTCTTATCTACTATAGTCACCGAGAAAAGATGGATAAGTCAGCAGATAACCACCAAAAAGCTCACATTATCAGAGAAAAACACATCAGATCCCTCGATTCGTTCTTCTACGCTTGCTCGCATAAATCAATAACGAGGTGGGTTCCACTGTTTGGCGTCACTTTCAGCCTAACAGATGCTAGCATCGTAACAAAAGGCACAAGCGAGAGAATCATCAATCTGATCTGTCAACAGCCCGATTTTAAGTGCGAGTTTGGTAAACATTGCGCCAAAAGTCTCCTCGCCGGGCAGAATTTACTAATACAATACCATTGCCCGTTATTTTCATTAGCATCATGCGTTGCACAAGTAGACACTAGTAAAGCTTATACGCAAGTCGTGTTCGTCAGCTATTACAACGAGTCTGACAGATCGAAGAAGTTGATTTCTTTCATAAGAACTGTCTGCGACGCATTGAGCATATCGTTGTAAGCCATTCGCATGACATTGTTTACTTAACTAAATCAGTATAGTTCTGCAACTGAGAAACCTTCGTCAACAAAATCTGACTCTATGTCTCAAGTGCTTTTCTGCGATTCAGATAGGTTCTTCCGTCATCTCAAGAGAAGAACTATAAACGTGGATTTGATAAAAACAATCATTTTTACCGAGGTATGACATTCACAAAGTCTGATCTAAACTGATCAATGACAAATTAGACTGAAGAACTCATCAAGGACTCTATGCTTGACAAGTTCAAATTAATAGTCAAATATCTACCACCCACGATTCAGTTTGTGTGGGTTCTGGATAGAAATTTTCGATCGTAACTCTTACATTAGCTCAGCGCATCCTTCACCATAGCACCAGCATATTTAGTGCAAGACGCTGAGAACTTTCTCAACACTCCACAGAGCTACATCAGAAGAATCCAGAAATTGCGTATCAGGGGTAAATTTTACTGTCTGTTACTCTGTACGATATTTATGAAAATTTTAGGTACACGAGAGTTCAAAATTAAGATGCCTGAAGATAGGCAAGAGATACTGCTCGAAATTTCTGCGGCATCTGTACACCAACAACTTGTTGTCTTTTGCAATAATTTCAAAACTGCTGAAAACGTGTTTGAGGGAGTCAAGAAGACTCAGCCAAAGGCGGCTATAGCCTACAACGCTTACGATAAAGATTTATACGAAATGGTAAGATCATTCTGTATTTGCGGAGGTCATACTCTGACTAACTAGTTTGATCGAGGTGATCTTCGCATCCTCATTGGTTGTGAGAATATAGCTCCATGTGAATCTATTCAGAGGTGCAAACTGCTCGTGAGTATATTACCACATATGCAATGTTACTCATTCAGTTTAGATCAACTACAACCAGCCATTACATGAGAGAGAGTATATTGTACAGTGAGTCACCTTTTTAAAGCTATACTAGCACCACGGATAACACCACTAGATGTGGTAGACCGCTAAACTCAACCCATAAAGCCGTCGTTGTCACACTGACATCAGAATTCGAGGAGATGTCATTGGAATATACCAATAATAGGTGTAAAGAGATACGTACAATCCCATTCAATATATGTTAGTAGATTATCGCGTCATCTCGTTATCAGCTAACGAAGAAGACAGCTGAACTTGCATCAAAGGCATGAGCAATATCGAATTGCATAATATAATCGTAATACTTGATGATACTGTATTTTCTAAAGCCTTTAAGTTATTTTTTTATTTTTGATAATGTAAACGATACGCGTCGCGACCGCGTTGTTGAGTTTATACGATCAAGAAAATGAGCTTAGCACCGTCTGTGGGTAGGAATACAGATTAGATATCGACAACTAACCAATTAAAGGATCATATATCAACACTCTGGTGCCATTCTGAGGGGTTAGCCAGATTGCTCTATTCTCCAGACGGTAATAAGCTATATACAGCGGGAAATGATTCAATGTTGAGAGCATTCAGTTTGAATCCTGACAAGTCACTTGGAGAATCTCAGGTTATTGACGCACACACTGATTCTATACAATCAATACAACATACTAAAGACGTCTTGATAACAGCTTGCGAAGATGGTTGCGTCAGGAGTTTCGATTTATCAGACAACAGCTTCAAGGAGTTGGTAGTCAAGTCTGCATTGGCAGCTAGATGGATTGGAGTTGAGAATGTCAGGGGGAAAGCGAGAAGAATAGCATTAGCATCTGATGAGCTTATCGTAAAGGTTGTCGATTTGAACGACCACCTGAGAGTTAGTTTATTACAAGGACATACAAAGTCTGTTAGAAGCGCGACTTGGTCACCATTAGGAGGCGTTTTAGCTACATCGAGTTGCGATGGTTCAATTAAGATATGGAAAGAGAAGAACAGTCAGTTTGAATGCATAAAGACCATCGATGGTATTATCAAAGCTGACGACCCTGAGTGAGTGCACAATTGTAGCGTTTACGCGTCTTCAGGAGATTTCTAACGCCTTATTTAGATCTGAGTATGGTGTGGCCGCTAATTGGCATCCGTCTGGTAAATTTATTGTATGTACTACACGTACACATGATATTGCCATAATAGATACCGAAAATTACAAGAAAATCGGTTCACTTTCACAGGATGGACATACCTCAGATGTAGCTGAGTTGAGTTGGTCGCCTAATGGAAGGTACCTCGCAAGTTCGGGTAAAGATGGCTATTTGATCATCTGGTCAATTGATGATAGAAGACCAATATCGAAGACAAAATGTGATGCACTCATAACATCCATCAGTTGGCATCCTACAGAGAACGTCTTAGCATTCATCGATACTTCCGCATCAGCAAGTAGATGGCTGAAACCTATCCCAGAAGCTGCTGAATCGCCTTGTCTTGGTAAAATATTATACGCTGATGAAACAATGGCAATGCAGCAACAACCTAGCGAAGAAATTGATGCTAGCAAAGATGATGACCTTATTCTCAAGGAATTGGAAGGAGATGATGGAGAAGATCTTGACGATTTTGCCATCGATGATGATGAACCGCTCGATAAAGTGGTAGATAAACCAAGACCTGGCGCAACGGTACAATTTGATCCAGGTCAACGTCCATTCCAACCTGGTAGTACACCTCAGCGACTCGATCGTCGTTATTTGGCATTCAACATGTTGGGTGTTATACACTCTGTTGATCAAGATACCCACAATTTAGTCACCGTCGAATTCCATGATAAGAGCGCCAGACGTGGTTACAGTTTCCAAGATCATTTCAAGAGTTCTCTTTGTGCCCTTGGTGAGGAAGGTGCCTTGTACGCTTCTACGGGTAACACATCAATGATAGTATATAAGCCATTTGACAGTTGGTCATCTCAACAAGATTGGAGCACTCGCTTACCTGATGGTGAATCAGCATCTATTCTCGCTTGTGGTTCAAAATTTGTCGTCGTTTCTACAAGCAAAAACTATTTACGCTTCTTTACTACATCTGGTATACAGAGATATGTTATAAATTACGGTAAGGATGTTGTCACAGCCAGTGCTGGTAAACAATACTTTGTTGCTGTTTCTAGATCATCAGGTGGCGCTAGCAATGGTTATCAGAATCTTGTTTATGACGTTATTGATCTGTCTACTTTTGAATATGTTCAAAGTGGTACTGTTCCTTTAGCAAAAGGCGTCGAAATTACTTGGTTGGGATTCTCTTCTGATATTGACGTAAGTGTTTTAGTATTTTTTTACTGTTAGGCTCAAATAGCGATAAGGTTCCCGTTATGTACGACTCTAACGGCTTGTTATCCATACTTGACAAGTTTGCCACTCCAATGCAAGCGCGTTGGGTGCCTTTGTTAGATACAAACACACTGGAGCGTCGTCAAGATAAAGATGAGAGATATTGGCCAGTGGGTGTAACTAATACCCAATTGATGTGTATTATATTGAAGGTAAGGGTATTTCAATAGTGGTCGTTTCATTTAGCTTATACTTCATAGGGTTCAGAACAATATCCATACTTCCCTAGACCACTTATTTCTGAATTGGATATAAAGATACCACTGTTGGGAATGGATAGCCAACAAGGACAATTAGAAGAGAGCGTAATGAGAGACAGCTTATTGTTGAATCACGCTAGAGACAGTAATGAAGAGGATGAGTTCGAGGAAGAAATCAAGCAGCATGAAATACAGATAGACAAGGGTATACTTCAACTCATTAACACTGCCTGCAAAGCAGATAAACTGCAGCGTGCATTAGATGCAGCAGCAATGTTAAATCAATTCACTTCGATAGACGCTGCTATGAAAATTGCCGCTTTCTTCCATTTACCTAGTTTACAAGATAGAATATACCTCCTCAAAGAGGACAAAATTAGCCAGCGGGAGAGAAAGCAGAACACTAAGAAAATTAGTTATAAAGACAGAGTTATGAGCAGACCATTGTCTACTATGCCAATATCACAAACCAACCAAAATAGCAATACAGCACCTGCATTTCCAGCAAGGAAACCACACATGAGGAGAAGGTTTGATGCGCCAGTTGAAGATGTAGATATGGATAGTATTGCCAACGAAACTCAGGAAGTAGTCGATGTGGGAAATAGCGTTGTTGATGATGATGAACCTATTGCATTCAGTGATGACGATGATGTCGACGTTGAAGCTAATGCAGAATCGTCCTCATCAAATAAACGTAAAGTTGACGCTATTGACGATTCACAGATGACTTTCTCTCCTCCCGAAAGCAGCAAAATTAGACTGTCTAATGAAGCCCTCCCTCCACCTCCTATTCCTGGTATGGCATCACAGCAGCCATCAATGCAAGCTAATCCATTCGCTAAATCCGCCAATCCATTTGCTAAAGCTCCGACAGATAATAGCACAACATTGAAAAAGGGCAGTATACACCAATCTGATTCCTTCTTCGAGAGAGCCGATAAACCTATGAACAAGAAGAAAGCAGCAAGCAAGAAGCAATCATCCCTTTTAGGCCACTTCAAGAAGCCTGAAGAGGGTGGTCTTCACGAACGAGATGAGAATAGTGCAATTGATAGTGAAGAACCAAGGGAGAAAACGTCGACTAGAGAAAAACTGGAGAAATTCCGGGCCAAAAACCATACCGCATCCCAGGATCAAGAATCAGAACAAGTTGAACCAATTGAACAAGTCGAGTGAATTTAAATAGCCCAGTCTATGTATTATAATATAAATAAGTAAAATACAATAATATCTGCATATTAATCTAAACGTTTAAAATCTTTTTTGCTTTTTGCTCCTGTTCTTGTTTCCACTAACAGTCTTTGGAAGGTTGGCAACATCTTCGTCCATATCCATATCGTCTCTTGATGAGTGTTTGCCTTTGCGTTTCTTTTGTTGGGATTCGCGAAGTTCTACAGCTGCAATACGTGATGCTTCATTTACGCGTTCTACTAAGAGAGGTACGGCTTGTTTGTCATGAGGGAACTCCTCCATTTTAACGTTGATTGCTTTTTCAATACGTTGGAGTAATTCCACATCGTATTGTGTTACTAATGTGATTGCCTTACCACTTCTACCAGCTCTAGCTGTTCTACCTACTCTATGGATGTAATCTTTGGAGTTGGATGGCGTATCGTAGTTAACGACGTAGTCTACACTTGGAATATCCAATCCACGGCTAGCTACATCAGTGGCGACGAGAATGTTTCTACCACCAGCTTTGAACTTGTTGAGAGCACCGAGACGTGATGATTGACTGAGTTGTCCATGTAATGGGATAGCTGGGAAACCTAAGTTACGAAGAATGATCGATATGCGCTGAGCATCAACAACAGTTCTGGTGAAGATGATCATTGAATGACCAGCAACTTCGTTAGCGAGGTAAACTAAGTAACTATCTTTCATCTTGAATGGGAAGAAAAGGTAATGCTGCAACAAAGTAGAGACTGTTTGATATTTGTCACTCACTTCAACTTTAACTGGATTTGAGAGTGATGCTCTTTGTAATTTCGCAACTTTAGTTGTCATAGTAGCCGAAAACAACATTGTAGTTCTCTCTTTTGGTAGTATTTTCAACAATTTGTCTATAATTGGACCGAAATCCATATCCAACAATCTATCAGCTTCATCCATAACGAGGAACTTTATATTACGAAGGGAGAAACCCTTTGTGTTCTCCAAATGATCATGTAATCTACCAGGTGTTGCGACAATAATGTGAGGTTTTTTTGAGAGAGCTATGGACTGGGTCATCATATCCATACCACCGACGATAGTAGCAGTACGTAAACCGATGTTAGAACCAAGAGCTTCGAATTGTTCAGAGATCTGATAAGCCAATTCTCTATAGAGGGTGTGAGTGTGTGTCTTCTCTCTTCAAATCGAACGTACCTCGTTGGTGCAAGAACACAACAGAAGTATGGAGCAGGATTGTCATACAATAATTGTATAACTGGGAGTGCAAAAGCAGCAGTTTTTCCACTACCAGTCTGGGCCAATCCTATAATATCCCGCGATTGGAGTGAGTATGGGATAGATTGCTGCTGGATTTCTGTCGGTTGTTTGTATCCCAGGCGTTCACAATTTTTTACTAAATCGTCGATTAAATTCAAATCTTTGAAACTGACTTCTGCCATATCTTCTTCGTTGTTGACAGTCAAGAGTGAAATGACGAATTTCTACACAGTCAGCCAGTATAGGCCCAAGGCAGAGAAATCCCCGCCATTAGTTTATTATAGTGGGAGTAAACCACCGAGTTCTATTAAGGGTGCAACTCATCTCTCACTCTATGACTACAACAATAGAAAATTAGAGAAGAAACAAGAAAAGCAGCCCTGGAGTGCGCTGTTTAATGACAAGAAAGAAAAGAAAAGCCCACAATTGCTAGAACTCAGAGGGTTGATTAATCAAGGAAATCTATGCTTCGCTAATGCGATATTTCAATCTTTGGTATTCTGTCAGCCATTTTATCAACTATTCATACAACTAGGTAGAGAACTACCCTTTAGTTTTAACAAAACCCCCCTCCTAGACGCTACCATCATGTTTTTGAACGAATTTAGAGTCCTGGATGATGACGATATCCAACTGCAGACAGGAGAACCTTTCACACCAACTAGCATTTACGACGCAATGAAGACCTACAATAGATTTTCTCAGATACAGGTTCGTTTTTACAGTAATTATCCCAAATACTTGCTCACGTTCATTTAGCTTGGTCAACAAGAAGACGCAGAAGAATTCTTAGGATTCTTCCTTGACACACTTCATGAAGAATTATTGAGTATATCCCCACGTCTTAAGCCACGGACTGGCACAACACTTCATGAATGGTTCGATGGACTCCTTCCGACTGATCAACCTGCTCAAGCTGATGATGGATGGCTTGAAGTTGGACACAAGAATAAGACACTCTCTACAAAATCTACAAACACTCAGGAATCACCACTAACGAAGATGTTCGGTGGTAAATTTAGAAGTGTTTTGAAGACCCCTGGACAGAAGGATTCAATCACACTAGAACCATTCCAACCATTACAGCTAGACATCCAACCAGACAATATTCACACTATAGAAGACGCTTTAATCAATCTTGCTCAACCTGAAACAATACATGGTGTACATTCATCAAGTAAACAAGGTCCAGTAGACGCAAGAAAACAAGTTACGATAGATACATGTCCACCAATCCTCATCATTCACTTGAAGAGATTCCTTTATGACTCCATAGGTGGTGTACTTAAAAGCAACAAGAAGATCGGATATAAATCAACTCTTAACATTCCAAATGAGATTATTTCACCTTCAAAAAGGCCTGCGGAAGGTCTTAATTATAGACTTTTTGCTGTTGTCTATCATCATGGTCAAAGTTCAGGTTCTGGTCACTACACAATTGACGTTTTACGTCAAAATCATAAACAATGGGTGCATATTGATGATATCGTTATGGATCTATTGGATGAAAAGGATGTTGTTATTACCCATAATAGCAAACAAAATAACAACTATGATGATAAAGTTGCCTATCTGCTATTATATTCCAAGATTTAATTTAAGATAGCTTATTTTTCTTACTTTATGCATAGAATTATTATACACTAAAAATTAAATACACATATTCAAAACATAATACGTTCGCCTTGTTTAGGACGATAAAATTTTACACCTAAATCTTCTGTAGATGAATTACTATGTAATTCTCTCATAATAGTTTCAGAAACAACGTCGCATCCCAACATTGGATCTTCTTTTACATGTGTTATTGCTATAACCAATCCGTCCAGTGGCTTTTCAGTTGTGTGTTGAAAAAAACCGAATCCTTTATTGTATCCAATCCTAAGTGCGTGATTTAAGCCGCCGAATAAGGCTTTCCTAACTGCTTGACTAGCTTGATTAGCTTGTGATAATGGTACAGAACCATTCTCGTCATCCTCGACGCTATCTTGGGACACAGATTGTGTCTCATCTTTCATTTTACTCTCATTGATATATTCGTCTATACTGAACTCTGTAGCATTTACATTTTTAAGTTCTTCGACTGGTAGTTGTTTGAATTTTTCAACTATTATAGCTAATGTTTCCAACTCATCGATGAGTAGATCTGGTTTAAAATGACCAAAGAGGAGGTTGTTCGGTCGATTGTTCATGTAGCTACATTCAATCCAAATCCACCTCAGTTCACCTAAAACAAAACGCTTAGCTGCTTCAATCCAGACTGGCTTGTTGCGTGGAAGTGTGCTAATAGCATCTGGTTCCACATCACCCCAAAACAAGAAGCTTCTGTTCTTCTCTTGATGCTCAAATTCAATGAAGTAGGCTATACTATCATACACTTCATTTGGATCTTTCTCAACTTGCAAATAAGCATGAGTGCGAGCATCAGGTACAAGACCAATTGTACCGTGGCTAATAGGAAATGGAGTGCATTTAAATGTGACTGCAGGCGTCAGTACATCGAACTTGGCAAATGGTTCAACTTGTGTAAATTGCAAACGTTCGACGAGACCGCCGGCTTTTGACCAACTTGCTAATGCAGGCCATAGAAGACCGCCAAAAGCAAGTTCCACACCTTTGAGTGTCTTCTCGAAACCGATTAGACTTTTGTATGAGCCGAACTTTTGAGAACTATTGATAATCAATCCCGCGAGATGATCCAAGTGGGGATGTGTAATAAGATAGGACGTTATTGAGGAGAATATTCTAGAGGCTAATCTATATCCGTCGACATCTTGTCGCGTGTCTGCTTTTGTCGTTGTGGGGGGATAAGCCGAGCTAGCGGAACAACTTTCGTCTGGAAGACTATTCCGCAGATCGTCTAACATTTCCGGATTAGCTTGTATGGCTTTTGACAATGCACCAATTCCAGAACCTATACTAAAATTAATAGGAGAAATGTGTATGAAGAAGACAGACCAGCGTCTATAGCTATACTACCACTATCCCATGTCTCGTGGTATGATTTGAATATATATCTAAGCATGAATCAGATTGATTCGACTGATTAGTAGATTATGTCACACACGATGTTAGATTGGATTCATCTGGTCCACCACTGTAGAACGTTTGTTAGCTGCCTACTACTAAATAAACGGACACTAACCCCGTTCCTACACAAATCATATCAAAATGTGGGCCATCGTATGTCATACTTGGTGGTAGAATACAACCAAGATTCCAAAATATCACATGGCTGGCTACAGCAAAAAAATATCCCCAATCGATCTGCCATCCAGTCGGGATGATCTGAGTATCTCTGGTGACAGTATTAGCGAGGATGACGCTCCGTCTGGGTCAGCTGGTATCAGCAGACTGTCCAAGTTTATCAACTGGAAACGACAATCACCCCGTAAAGAAACAAAATCGACTGACGAGAGGGTCTACAATGATAAATTAGAAGAAGAAGCACGCGTTGAACGCGACAGATCAAAGTTTGAAGCTCGTGTCATACTCAATATCGAATCTGCGATGTATGATACCCATCAGCTTATACATACCCAGAATGAGAGTCTAGAGTCACGGATGAAGGAGGTTGAGCATAAGAATAAATTCCTAGCAAAGCACCTCCTCGAGACTGACAGCAGGCTTGCTGAGCAAACAGAAAAGATACGCGTCTTAGAACAGACCAACAAAGATCTCAGCACGCGTAATAAACAATTCGAGGATAGACTGACCAGTCCAGACGACAGCCAACAAGAGTTACAAGAGTTGCGCACTGTCGTCGGAAAACTCCAATCTGATTTGAAGGGACTCTCAGTCTTAGCCTTGGAGAGGATACAAGGGTTAGAGAAAACGGTCGAAAAAGGCGAAGTATCGCATCACAAGAAGAATAGTAGCAGTCTGTCAAGCGTGAGGGACGAGAACACACCAACGGTAAAATCACCAACTGTGAAGTCACCAACTAAACAGCAAGCGGTGAAGAGATCTCCAGGGTCTCCCGTTAAGCAGTCGCCAGCGATAAAGGCCAGAGCCAAGCAATTCACATAGGTCAATGTACTAATAGATGAGTTGAGCAAATAAATTATTAACTTAATTATTACATTCTATGCATCCGGTAAACCTTCCATGATTACTGGTTTTGGTGGTGTTCTTCTACGTTGGCGTTGTTTGCTAATCCAGGTGACATTCTCAAGGATGTACTCGATACACCTCTCGGTCCTCACTTTAAGATCTTGAGCTACACTACGTCTTGTGTAGTCGAGTGTGAATCTGAAGCTGAGCCATGTATAGAGTACTAGTGATCTATGTAGACTCTCAAGTGAGTTGAGTGTATCTGGTGATAGCGGCTTCTTATATGCAGGATTTCCGATTACTTTTTCAACATCCTTGAGCTCCTTGAGACCGAGTCCCTCCAGTGACTTTATGGGTTCAATCGTCTCACCGCTTGCCTGTGCATCAATAAATCTACACAATGCAGCAACAACGTTCGCATCACGTGTATTACATGGCGCCATTGCAAATCTATATGCATCATCTATCGGTAACTGCGAGAGTGGTTCGTTAGCTATGGCAGCCATTTGCAGAAGATTTTGATTTGAAGTGACGAAATAGTTGTTAGAGACTCGCAATAAACCAGTCAGCGTTTTTATCAGATCACCTAGTGATGCCCGAGAAGGCATGAGGTTGTTCAAATCTTTCAAAGCATCAGTCGATATACCGATAGCAGCCTTGTTGATAGTTGGTATCTTGGCGCTAATTGCTCTTTCTAAGATTTGCAAATCCATTGGATTAAGAGTGGTAGCTACACCGGATTGATCATCTTCGTCTTCAACCTTGGCATTATTTGTCTCTATGATATTTTCTTTCTCATTTACTCCATAGCGACCAGCACGTCCTGCAATTTGCTTCATTTGTGATATAGACAGAGGTACTTCCTTAACCCCATTCCATTTGTGCACTGTCTCGAAGACGACACGGCGGATTTTCCTAAGTGGATTGTCAGAGGATGTTATGAGATTGAAGTTTCACCTACAAATTCAGACCCATTCCGATGGCGTCTGAAGCTACCATAACATCGTAGCCGCTATCCTTGTCATTGAAGAGCTTCGCTTGTTCTGCTCGAGTTTCAGGTGGAAGACCACCATACGCGACTGCGCAACGGAGGCCAGTTGCATCCTCAATCTTCCTCTTAAGAGCCCATATACCACTTCTACTGAACGTGACAACACAATCTCCCTTTCTAACATTCTTGAGTGTGCTTAATGGTTTACCGATTCGCAATTCAGTCAGACGTTTATAGCGATTAACGATAATCTCATCACCAGTCTCTTTTGCAATTCGTTCTAGCAACTCAACGACGGTTTCTTCACCACATATGTGGAGTTCTTTAGCTCTCATGCCCAACACGGCAGCTGTCCAAGCTGGGCCTCTTGAATCGTCGGCTATCAACTGAATTTCATCGATAACACCAACATCAATTTCATGTTCGAGTGGAACCATTTCAACTGTACAACTCTTAAGGCCTGACTCTGGATCAACTATGCGAACCTCCTCGCCAGTGTATAAATTGCATGTTTTTGGCGGACCTGGTGGAAGGGGTTTTCCATCTGTACCAATACCTGGACTAATGGTGCCTTGATTCAGACGGAGGAATATTTCGTGAGCCAGCAACCTCAATGGACCGGCATAGATACCAGTTTTGGCTCTAGATAGCGCCAATAACGCACTATGAGTCTTTCCACTGTTCGTTGGACCAACATGTAATATCAATTTCCTGCGCATAGTCCGCGCCTTCGAGTATTTAAGTGATGGCTGTCGGAAATCTGTGATAGCATCAACAGAGGCAATGTTTTGACTGATTAAACGTTGCTGTATTGTTCTCTCGATGATTTTATTACGGGACACGCTCTCTGTTACAGCCCCCATATCAAACTTCCATCCAAGTTCTTCCATTTCCCGCAAAGAACGTGAGCTGAACTGCTGTTTGACATCTTCCCGAAACTGTTTGAGCTTCCGCCTAGCTGTTGATTGCGTCAGGCCAAAATTTGTGAGGAGTTGTACTGCATCATGGGATTTGCAATAGTCGTTCAAAACGTAGTCAATCCTAGCTTTGAAATTTAAACTGGGAGATTTATCCTTGAGCGTCGATTGTAATTTACTCCTTAAATTAGCATGGCTAGGTCGAAATAAAGCCCTTGCAGTTTGTTGCATATACTGGTGGTATTGATGAGAGAATGTACTTGATGTATTTAATATATTATTTTATATAATTTATATCTTTATTACACAAAACCCCTTTATATTCTACATCCATTAGCTAACGACTAACAAACAATGAAGAGACTCATTAACAAATACGATAACGCAAGGCCGACGATTCTTGCACTCCCGAATGAATTGCTTATGATGGTTGCTGAATTATCCCCTAGAATCTCCTTAACTTGCCGACGCTGCTATCATCTCGGGAGCAGATATCAGCCAGTGATAACGGCAATATCTGGACCGAATGCACCATCTTTTGATAAGCATAACACAAAGAAAGTACATCACGCTACCCTCAAGCGATTTAATAGATATCTCGATGATATAATATTCAATGACGCCAAATCTCAGCTGATAACACAAGTCAAGTATAAGCATAATGGCTTCACATTCGATGTAGAAAGCAGCACGATTAGTAAAATCAGAAGTCTACCCAATTTATCCAAATTTGTTTACCAAACTGACTACCTTGATGCTGGAATTATCAATAATTTCTGGAACTTCACTAAACTTGAACAGTTGAATATCAAATTGTATGATAAACCGTATAATCTTAACAGGGATATCACAAGATTAATGCAGATACCAACATTGAACATAGTAGCCTTTGATTTTCCATGCACGTCTTACAGTAATAACAGTCTGTACGGCTTCGTCGCAGAACTTGAAGATCTTAGCGCATATATACCAATCCGGGAGGATTTCAAACTAGTTGTTAACTTCTGCCATACCACTAGCTGTCGTCATTTCGGTTGCAATTACGAGATGAGTAATTTCACCGTGGTTTTCACTAAATGTACAATATGCAGGAATCACTTTGTTTACGCTACAAACAACAATGATGTTTATTCGACTCTAGCTAAAGCATATGGATGGCCTAATAACAAACATTTCATCAAGCAAAAACTTAAAGAGCGACATGAGTTCTGATCTTCTTGTAAAAATTATGTAAAATATTTTTATAAATCATACTTGTCAAAGTGATTCTATCGAAAAAGAAATAAAAGCAAAAAGAAAGGGCTCGACAGGGATTTGAACCCTGGACCTCTCGCAAGCTGGTAACCCAAAGCGAGAATCATACCCCTAGACCATCGAGCCGATATTAAAACTGACGCTGTACTGCTCCAATATCGTAATTAGTTAGAGGTTCCCGAAAAACACATGTAAAATTTTCACTATTTAAGTCACGCGGAGTCGCGTGTTCAAGGCTTAATATGTGTACACACTACACTACCAAAAAGTGCTCAAACTGCCCAGAAAATGAGAGTGAGGGACATACAGCACTCGAGGGGGACAAATGTCCAATTAAAAAGTCCTATTTAGAGTCCATTGCACAACAGAATCGCGAAAAGAAAGAGTTGTTGCTAGGTATGAGTTGGGGGGCAAGAGGTGGTAATTCAAGTGGTTCAGATCCTGCCCAGAGATCACTTGAATGAATAGCGATAATCTACAAATAATATCATACAATGTCCAAAAATCACATACTGTCATGGAATCCATAATAAATAACCCAATCACACATAACGTCCA